TTGAACACTTTTGGACACGGAACATCCAAATATCTCCTACTCAGAGAGATGCCAGATAACTAACCTAAAATTTGTATGGGTTCGAATACTAAAAGCAGGCTTCTGTCTCCTCTTTCGCATTAATAATAGCTCAAATCTTTCTCGGATTTCAGCACTTATCCCTAGTAGTCGCCCATACGGTCCTCGCAACTGTTACCTGATTAGTCCTCCTGCCGCTTCTTCCACCTCTAAGCACTCTCTTTTTTGCTTCCAGGTATACTTTCCTCTAGAATAACCTTCAAATAAATATAAGATCTTCAGACAATCTACACACCCTTAAGAGAAGGCTGCGCCTTTATTTGAATACTGAATCGATTAAACTTTTATTTTCCTCGTCCTTCCCGGACAACTTTCTCTATGAAACCGACAAAGGGCTACCGGGAATTTAGGACACCTCCGCTAAATTACCGTCTCCGCCCACATTTCCTTCTTTTGTGTGCAATATCGCATCCTGTGATCCCTCATCATAAATGTTAACTTTTCTGATTTTTCAATTTATGCATCGTGCCCCTCACAGAATGCGCTCTATCGACGCTCTTGGCGGAACCGTCTGTATTCGCCATCGACCAGTCGTCTGGTCGCATCTCCCTTGCCCCCTGCTCGGCTGGACTCGGCCGACTGTGAACGATCGTGTCTTGCTTTCTATCGCTTCGTCATTTTGAGGTGAATGGCCTCATCCGGCATATGAATTCTGCCTTGATGCTGTCCGTTTCGACCCTTTTACTCAATACCATATGCATGCCGGTCCTGTCTGACCCGCATGCTCACCCCTTCATGAAATCCGTTATACAGTGCCACATGCAGGCCGGTCATGCCCGCATTCTAGCCCTTTCATGAACGACAGTTTTTTCTGCTATAATCTCAATCCAGTCATATTGATTTGGTTTATTTGTAAGAAGATTTTTTCCCTGCTCGTTCATCATTCTTCTTAACAGACTACTTATTCAATAGGTATGAATTAAGTATTGTATAGTTGTTGTATGCCTGTTCTGGAATTATAAGACTAGTGTAAAAGTTATTCTTACTTGCTATAAAAGGGCCCCCATGGGTCTTGAATAAAAAGTGCTATTATTATTAAATTTTCTGGACATTTTCATGTAAAACATACAAACCAAGCGTTACTTGTGGGTTTTAAAGGAGGAAAAACTGTTCAGTATGTAGAATTTAACTGCTTCGCCGATGACCGCGCATGAGGGATTAAGATACCTCATGTAAAAGGAGAAATTATAAAACGACCGCAACAGATTTCACCACCATACCACTGTAGGTAAAGTCATAATTCTCGAATAACTACAGACACATCCGCCAGGGTAGCGGAGCAGAGGAACCGAATGCGACTATCAGCCTGCAACAATCGTTCCATAGCATACTAGTTGTTGACTATACGTATTGTCGCCCAGGGCATTGACGAGGGCGTCGAGCTGCTCCAGAGTCTCCATCTGCCTCAAATTGGGTCCAGAGGACTCAGATGGCAGATGGACATGTCCTGAGGCCTTGGATCATGTTGATGACGCAACTCAGAGATCTGGTGTATAAGCATTGCTTGTCACTGCTTGGTCCATCGGACGCCTTGCCTTAAACTAGCCCGCCCTCGTTGGGGATGGTGTTGGTAACTTGGGCGTCCTGTGCGCCGAGGGGTATTAAATGAACGACTTCTTCCTACGTAAGTAGCATATGGGACATCGAAGCTTATCCGCGTAAGGAGGGGAGGCACCACCCGGTATTGTTGCACTGGAATCTGTTGCCTCGTCCTCAGATCCTTGAAACAGGAAATCTGCAAACAACAGATAACCTTACCGACGTTGAAGTTCATACTTAAAAGTCCAATGCAATGGACTGCTTTTTGTCTGACACTCACCATGCATTCCAGCTAGCCGGCGTACTAATTGCTGCAGTGCCCGTGACGGTTTTCTAAGCATCCGCTTCAGTTTTCCCAGGAAAATTTCCAATGGAAACGACGAGAAACTATCCAACCGACCATGCCGTGGGATATCTGTTCAGTTCAGTTCAGTTTATTGAGGGAAATAGGCGTAAACCTTTGAGTACCCTATTTGCAACATAAAACATGCGTAGTATACAGAAAAATGTCCTGGGCTGAAATATTTTAAACGAGCTCATAATGATAGGACAAAATGGGAACGAGTTACAGGGGGTGAGCTCGACTTCTCATCGCTCTTGGTCAGTTCTGAACATAAATATGTCAAGATTTTTTTTAAAACTTTGTATTGATTTTGAAACCACAACGTCTCCGGGAAGGACATTCCATGGTTTGACCACTCGAACAGAGAAGGAGAACTTCTGCACATCCAGCCTTGCCTGCTGAGTGCACAGTTTTGACGGGTGATCTCGGAGGTTGGTCGTGGTATGGAATTCAAAAAATTCCTCCAAAGCCAGACTGCAACCCAACCCCTGTACAATGCGGAATGCTTGCAAGAGATCCCCGGGAAGTTGCCTGTAAAGTAAAGGGAAGAGGTTCACATTTACTTGGCGTGTTGCATAAGGAAAGGAGCTTTGACCCCCAACCGTCTTCATGGATCTCATCAGAACTCTTTCGAGGCAATTTTGATCCTCAACCGCCCACGGTCTCCAGGCTTGTCAGCCATACCCCAAATGCGGCCGCGAGAATGCTCCGAATGTATTTGAGAAAGCATCCTCGTCAATGTCCATTAACGCACGCTGGATGGCGTAGAGTACGGACATTGCGCTTTTTGCCACTCTCGAAAAATGGACCGATGGTTTTAGGGAACTCATCGTCAGCACACCGAAGTCCTTTTGGACTTCGATCTCCTGTAGGGCTGCACCGCCCAGAAAGTAGTCTCTTGTGCTGGCGGATCTGGTTGTATTGACTAGAAGAAGTATGTTACATTTACCAATGTTGAACAGCAGAAGTAAACCGATTTAGGTTCACATGCGGTCTGTGCTCGACAGCAGGACCCCGAATTACACTCCATATCTTCATGTCATCGGTAAACATTGCTACTTCGCAGTCTAAAGCTCATGCGGCATTGTACACGTATATAAGGAACAAAATGGGTCCAAATACTGAGTCCTGGGGGACACCACTGTCGACCATAGCAGTATCTGGTGTCCCTTGACCGATGCGCACAGCCTGGTGTCAACCCACAAAAAAGTTTTCGATCCACCTGAGGAAGTTGCCACTGATCCCGACTTTTTTCAGTTTGTGTAACAGCCTCTGGTGTGGCACAGGGTCGAACGCCTTCTGGAAGTCGATGAAGGCTATGTGGACCATGTGCCCTTCGTCGAGAGCTCGGGTCCAGCTCTGGAGTGATTGCAGCAAGTTTGTCGTGCAGAATCTTCCTTTCTGGAACCCATATTGATATTTCGATAGCAGGCCGTGAACTTCCAGGAATTGTATCAGTTCACTCTTTATGATCCTTTCCATAACTTTGCAGAGAATGCATGCCAAGCTTATGGGCCGGGAATTTGTCGTCGCCGTTCCGCTACCTCCTTTATGTAGCGGAGGTCGAAGCGATCACGTTGTACTTCAATGGGACTATTCAATCTTTTCCGTGCCTGAACAGCCCACCAAAATTCGAAGAAATATTTGGCGTGGGGACTTCGATCAAATGAAGGCCGAAATCAACAATACGGACTGGGAATCAGCGTTTTCCGGAAATATAGAGGAGGATTGGAAATGGTTCAGTGAATTATTGCATGCTCTCCTGACAAACCACTGCCCGCTTTCACGGAAGGGGCTAAACAAACGACCCCGGTGGCTGACCCAGGCGTTAAAAAAGGAAATAAATAAAAAACGGAGATTGTGGCAGAAATCTCTTACTGATGGGACTCCTGTATCCATAAACGCATACAAAATACAGAGGAACTTAGTCAAGCGGCTGACCCTCAGGACACGGCAAAATTTTGAAAAAGACCTATTGAATCGTGCTATGGAAAATCCAAAATTATTCTATAGCTACATAAGAAGCAGCACACGAAACAGAGATCCAATCCCCCTCCTGAAGACTAGCGGAGACGTGGAGATTAGTGAGGATGGAGAAAAAGCTGAGCACTTTTCACAATTTTTCAAATCCATCTTTACTAGTGAAAGTCCATTTACTCCCCTCGACTACGACTTCGATGAGGGTCCAAAAATCGAGTCTGTGTCTTTTGATGAAGCGACGGTTCGCAAAGAGCTAATGACGCTAAATGAGTCGAAATCACCAGGTCCAGACGACATACCGCCTAAGTTACTGAAGGAGCTCGCTGCCGAACTAGCCAAACCATTGTCCATGCTTTTCCAAGCCTCGTTCGAAGCCGGCGGCTTGCCCACCGACTGGAAATCTGCGCGGATCACACCACTGCATAAAGGAGGCAGCAAGGCCTCTGCAAACAATTACAGACCAATTAGCCTCACTTCCATCTGCTGCAAACTCATGGAGAAAATAATCAAGCGAGAGCTGATGCGCTTCCTAGAGCAGCATAATTTATTATCTGATGCGCAGCATGGGTTTCGTTGTGGCAGGTCTTGCGTGACTAACTTGCTCAACTGTTTGGAACGTTGGACTCGGTCAGTTGATGAAGGCAGTGCGCTGCATGTAGTCTATATCGACTTTAAAAAGGCATTTGATAGTGTCCCACATCAGCGACTCCTGCACAAACTGAGCCGAACAGGCGTTAGGGGTAACCTCTTAAAATGGATTCAAAGTTTCCTGTTAGACCGTTGTCAAACTGTCCATGTCGGTGGCCAGAAGTCGACGGAGGTTGCCGTTGAAAGCGGTGTTCCCCAAGGCTCAGTTCTTGGCCCTACTTTGTTCATCATTTACGTAAACGATTGCGTGAGTGAACAGGGTTGTGGTGTCGCCATGTTTGCGGATGACATTAAGCTCTGGAGCGTCATTCGAACTGCAGATGACGAAGAGCATCTGCAGGCGAACCTAAATCGACTCCAACAGTGGTCAAAGGCCTGGCTTCTGCCGTTCAACGAGAAAAAGTGTAATATTCTACGAGACGGCAGAGCTCGCTCTCCGAACCATATGGCCTACTGCCTAAATGGTATACCGCTGCAAGAAGTGGACTCGCAGAAGGACTTGGGAGTATGGATTACGACCTCGCTCAAACCCTCGCTGCACTGCACGAAGATAGCCAAGTCTGCAATGTCAGTCCTCTACCTTGTCAAGCGGGCTTTCTCTGCCTTTGACGAAGACTGCTTCGCTAAAGTCTTTCGAACTTTTGTGCGTCCGCAACTAGAATTTGCTATCCAAGCTTGGAGACCCTGGACCGCGAAGGACCTCAGCATCCTTGAAAGGGTTCAAAGGCGTGCAACGAAACTTGTGGCAGGACAGGGTTCACTACCATATGCAACGCGGTTAGCTAACCTCAATCTCTTTCCCTTGAGTTACAGGCAGTTACGGGGTGACCTGATACAAGTCTTCCGTATCATACGCGGTCAGGACTGCAGCCTCGTACCGGGTGACTTCTTCGAGTTAGCAACCACCACAAATCTACGAGGCCATCCATTCAAACTACGTGTGACAGGGGCCAGACTGGACACACGAAGGTTCTTCTTCTCCAACAGAGTGGTAGAAGCCTGGAATGCCCTGCCTGTGGATGTCGTTATGTCTGCTTCCGTCGAGGTTTTTAAGAGGAAGCTAGATTTGTGTAGCAGTGTGCACTAAATTACCACCCCGATCTCTGTAACCTCGACAAATTCAGCTATTATAATACTACTTGCTATATTTCAGTAACATTGTAAATTGAACTTATTATTGTACCAACCCATCGCCTACGCTTAATGACATGCACATATGCAAATTTTGTCCCCGGACATATTATTTATTTCGCTGCACTCGAAACGACAGCTCTACAACTGCTCGTACCACTAAAATTCGAGACAGTTTGTTTGTCTGTACAGATCTGACGCTTTTCCGATTATTTGTTACTTTATGATACCTTTTCGAGTTTTTGAGATTTTGCAGTTGCTTGTAAACAAATAGGGAGTTCAAAGGTGAAGACCTACATTTCCCTCAATAAACTGAACTGAACTGAACTGAGTAATATGCGCCAGCTCCCAATCTATAGGAAGTGTTCCAGTATCGTCCGGTAGGTGGACAATGCTGTGAAAATTGTACACCATTTCAGCCTTACCACATAAAGATGAAAATTTCTCAACAAACATACGCAGCAGATGCCTACAATAGGGAGCCCATTGTTTGCAGGACTGAGACCTAACCATACAGCTTACTGCTGCGAAAAGTAATAAAAAATCCTTCATATTGACCCGACTGTGAAAAACTCGGCGCCTCGGTGGGATTCCAACCCACCGAGAGGAATCTGAAAGGTGCTGTGGTAGTGCTACACGGTCTTTTTTTATTGCCGTGAGATAAAACTGCATTATTTGGATGTTTGTGAATCTGTCGATAATCCAGTACATTCCGATACTTCATTAATTATATCCCCGCGGTTGTCCTGTAGCGGCCGAGGACGTCAAGGGTAGCACACACCAGAGTAAGGAAACGTCGAGAAGAGATCCTGGCGGAGGTAGACCTGAACAGAACTGTTAACATCTCTGGAAACTCGTTCACACGCTGAAGAAGAGAGTACGTCGAGCATGGGTATAGTGTACTGGAACAACATGATATGGCGAATGTATATAAATGTTAATGTACATGTGCAACGAGGAAGAGCGAATAAGTGACTGGATAGACGACCCTGAGATACTAGCCAAGCAGCCTGTGGGGATGCAGCGCTGTGGGCAACTGCAGGGAAGGGCCGAGGGGGAGCCGACGTTGAGTGGGAGAGCGCGAGAGAGTCCAGAGCGACAGTTCGTTGCGGGAGGGGGGTCGCCGGTAGCGAGAGGAAGGGACACTGGCCGTCTTCGCCAGCACGCAGTTACGCCATCTCCATCCGTTGTCCGCGCGACAAAAGTGTCCCGACATTAAAACAACTCCGTTCGTTCCAAGAGGCGTTACAGTCCTTCAGAAATATCTCATATGATGCGTTGCACTAACGTAGAGACGGGTGCTTACCGTGGCCCTGTGGCCTAATGGATAAGGCGTCTGACTTCGGATCAGAAGATTGCAGGTTCGAATCCTGCCAGGGTCGGCACTTTTGAGCCCAATGTTGAGGTGAGAAAGCGTCACTCCGGCTAATCTTGCGGTGCGAAGAAGACTTATCGTACGTCTGCCAACGTCTTCATTTCAAAGGCCGTTTGGTTGCCCTGTTCTTCGACAAAATAAAATCCCTACCCGTGAACTCTTGCAATTTACCCACCCTGCCCACTTGGGCCCATAATCTACGCTCAAGGTGTAGGAAATGGACCTTCATCGAACCCTTCCCCATTGCTGTTTCGAGTGGACTTCTACCTCGTCGGAATTTGCTCTTCCTAAATCGAACACATTATAGGTCGTTTTACGATGATAATTCAATCTCCTCTTTCTTTCCTGCCAATTTTCCACCATTGTTTTATAGCCAAAATGAGAGATGTCACATCCCTAGTAGCAAGGGTATATCGAGTCGATATACTCCTATAGCGTTTTTTCGATATACCACTCCTGGTAATTTCATTGGTTTCCCCGCCTATGCATTCTTGTCTGTAATTGGTTGGCGTACGTTAAGCGCTTTGCCAAATCGCGCGCTTACGCCTGCACGCCATTATCTCGTGAAGACAGCGTGGGGTAGGTGATTGTGTTGCGTCCTCCTTGTTCTTTGTTGTCATTGCCATCTATGTGCTTATTTTCTGCATCTTATTATCATTATGTTTAAGGAAGAGTCCGAGAGAGCGAGAAGACGCCAAATTAAGCGATATGGTGACAAAATATCTATAGAAATTGAAGAAACGGTGCGGAAACGACGGTCGTTCGTAAATGTCTCACAAGCCACTGTACGCAATTGCTCTGTTGCACGATTCGGCGACGTATAAAGTCATCAAAGGTACGTTCTCAATAAATATTGATCACTGCTCTAAACACAGAGGTCTTAGGGATTTGGAATGGCGACGGTAAAGCCACCCTTCCCGATGTGGAGTTCTCCATTAAAAAGCGACTTAAACTGTCACTGGAAACTGTCAAAAAGTGCAAAAGATAAGTACCAACACCCAAACCGGCGGTAAGTGTTCCTCCATTACCAATTAAACACTACTCTTTAATGTAGATCCAACACCGGTATCTTGAACAATGAGCTCGACCAATTCAACAGTGGATTACCCCAATATGAACCAATGATACTACAAATATTAATGTACATATTTATTTTTTTGTTTTCTCAATATATACCTACCAATTCAAGCGGCTTTGAAGTGTTTTGGGTACTTTGCGCTATTTTATACGTTTGTCATGCAGACTAAGACTACGGTAAATGGTTAAGGAGGGCGGACAGAAACAATATAGGTCGATTTAGTATAAAACGGAGGTATTTCCGTGGGAAAAAGGTCGTGTAAATGGCTAACCGTGATGCTGCCGTCGTTTTTCGAGTATATCGAAAATTCGACATCTACTCGATATACAACCGCCGGACAAAAACGCTATCCACTCGATATACCTATATCGAAAAAACGCTATCTACCCGCTATCGAGGCAATATACTCTTGCTACTAGGGATATATCGGCAGAATTGCTGACGTAGACTTCAACACTGGGCGCCATGCCAATGTGTAGTCAAATGGAAAGGCGTCAACCGAATCATTTACCTGTTGGTTCCCACAAGGAATGCGTGTCGTAAGCCCTCAAAGGTATGAAGG